GTCCCACATTTTGTCCCGCACTTTCAACTCGGGAACCACAAAAGCTAGGCTGCTGAAATTTTGGTAGAGTGTTCCCCGCCAACGGGTGACGCGGCAAATTTAAATTCAGCCTTCTCCCTTACCCGCGGGTAACACATACGGCCCCGTAAAATTTTTTATGGGTAAATTATTATCTCAGGAACCACGAAGTCTAGGAGGCTGAAATTTTAGGATAGACTCCCTGCCCACGCTCAATTTTTACGGGCTAGTGAAAGTTTTTACGGGCAAATTATTATCTCAGGAATCACGGGGTCTAGGAAGCTGAAACTTTAGGGTAATAACCCCCTGCCTACGCTCAACCTTGCCTATTCAAATTCAGCGTTCCCTCGCTGCTGAGTATCACCTACGGCCTCGTGAGAATTTTGGCGGTTGAACTATTAACTTGGGAATCACGGAAAGAAATTCACCCTTCAAGATTTCGAATTCAGCCTTCATACGCTGGTGCGCGAAATTTTCTACTGTTTTCAAATGTTTGAACTATTTTTGCATAGACAAAAGTACAAAGCAGTGATAATCATTAATAGGCCATTGTTTGATCGGCTGAGTCACACCAAACGCATAATCGCACCGGCTAGTCTGGTGCGCGTTGCTATTTATTTTTATTATTTATGTTATTATGACATTGGTTTTCATCGTCAGCTTATTGTTTAGCTGTTTGAGCATATGGATTGCACTGCGTTTGTAACAAATTAATATGAGTTTTAGATGAACGACGAAAAAGTGGATGTACTGATTTCGGTCAGAAACCAGAACGAGCAGTTTACGGAAAGATTGGGCCACGTGAAACAGGTTGTTGTGAGCGTATGTATGCAGGGTACCATAGAAGATGTGGCGCACGCACTGGCCAACAAGATCGGCGTGCCCCAGTCCTACATTATGTTCATTTTTTGTGGCAACAAGCTGCCCGAGCAAACAGCTCTCCAGACGCTTCTCCTTGGACCGCAAACGTACGTTAGGAAGCCAATTAATCGCATAGAAACGAAATTTTATTACTACTTACTTGGCACTTAAAATAACCACTTCTTCATCACTGAATCAAATTCGAAACTGTCCCCAGTGGTGTAGCCGCCATCTTTCTTCATTTCACGATTGTTTCGCCTTGTGGTCAGCCTGCTGGTGATCCTAACGTTCCGAAAAATAAGTTATGAAAATAACTGCTCCTGACAT